TTGCAACTCTAGTCTTTTCTACACCCTCTTTTTTTTGTATATATAAGCCTGGCAAATAAACAGAGATATAATTGCAGATAGACAGATAATTGAGTCAAGCGAGTGGTAGTGACCTTAAGTAAAGTACGTGAGTTGTTGTGAATTATAGCGTGTGTTTAAGTTAAAGTGACTGTGGAAATTCTGTGTATTGCAAAATTGTATTGAGAAAGAATAAACTAGTTTTATTTAAGAAAAGACTTGTATCGCTGAAGTTCCCCAAGAAGAATTTATACCGGAAATTAACAAATGACCAGAGACTTAACAAATTGGAAAAAGAAAAGAAAGATGGAAACGAGAAGTGGCAAATCAAACTACGACTTAGCAGATTTGATGGCAGCAATACAAGAACAGCAAAAGAAACAAGAGGAAGAAAATAAACAAGAAGAAACAATTGAGAGAAACCAGCATACACAAATGGAAAAGATTAATAAATTTCAAAGTGAATTAAATACATCAAAGGATGATTTACTGTCCTTTACACAGGGAGGATATATATTAACCATGGACCTAATTAGCCCCTTCCAGACCCCGCAGCTAAACCCTAATGCAGACATATTCAGTCCTGCCAGAAGTCACATTCCAGACATGAGTGTCAGCAATAGGGGTGATCTTGTACGAAGGAAGCCACTGGAATTCGATGAGAAGGCACCATGGGAAGCATATAGAGCACAATTTGAGCTCCTGGCAGAAATTAATGGATGGACAGAGGAGCAGAATGCAGTGTACCTCGCAATGAGCCTAAAAGGACAACCGCTGGAAATACTTGGACAGTTGTCAGCAAACAACAGACACAACTATAGAGCACTGGTACCTGCTCTAGAACTCGGGTATGGAACTCAAAATCAGTCCGAAGTCTACAGGGCTAGGTTTAGGATGAGAGTCGTTGCTAAATGTGGAGGCCACAAGAGCTGGTGCAGGATTTGAAAAGTATGGCCCTCAAGGCCTACCCAGCTACACCACCCGATGTCCTCAAGTTGTTGCTGAGGGATCAGTTTGTAGATGCCTTGGACAATCCACAACTGAAGATACAAGTAAAGCAAGCACACCTCTCTACTATGCAGGATGCAATGGCCAGAGCTCTTGAATTTGAATCATATGTTAAGTCCAGCACAGAGGTACCAAGGTTGATACAGTCATCAGGATACAAGGCCAGAAAAGATCAGTTTTCAGAGAGATTTGGGGGACTTTGCTGGCACTGTAACAAACCACGGCACAAGAGAGCTCAATGCCGGCAACTTCAACACAGGGAAGATGCCACTGTCAAAGAAGAAACTTTACCCGGTTTTGAGAAGGGAATCAGTGAAGCCCTTGATGAAGTTACTACCACTGATGTGACTGTTACCGATAATAGGATATTTCCTGATGGAGCAGATGAATCCCATATGAAGCAGAAGCCAACGAGATGGAGACCAGTATGGAAGAAAATACGTCCTGTAAAATTAAGAGACTTTGTTGAATTTTAATTTTGTGTTTTTAAATTCTGTACATTTAATTAAGTGATTGTTAATTATCCATTGGTTTAATGTAAGTGGCTATTGTTCGGGACGAACAATACTAAGGAAGGGGCAGTGTTATGACAGCGGAAGTCACGTGACGCTGGTAACATGTCATGAGATTCTCGAAGGATCTTGACTTTTCCTGACAACTCTAGTATTTTCTAGGCGCCCTCTTTTTTTGTATATAAGCCCGGCAAATAAAGCGGAGACATAGTTGCAGGTAGACAGATATAGAGACAGACAATTGAGTCAAGCGAGCGACAGTGACCTAAAGTAAAGTGCGTGAATCGTTGTGAATTATAGCGTGTGTTTAAGCAAAGTGACTGTGGAAGTTCTGTGTATTGCAAAGTTGTATTGAGAAAAGATAAACTAGTTTTTTTAAGAAAGGACGTGTATCGCTGAAGTTCCTCGGGAAGAATTTATACCGGAAATTAACAAACGACCAGAGACATAACAATATGTATATTTAAAACTATACTCAAGTGTTTTAAGTAAAATAAAGGTGACACCTGGAGACTGATTGAAAAAAGATA